TTCCCAGAGAAGCTGTGGCTGCCCCTGGATCCCTGGGAGTGTCCAAGGGCAGACTGGAGCGACCTGGGATAGTGGGAGGTGTCCCTGCCCATGGAACTGGCTGATCCCAAAGTCCCTTCCCACCCAAACCATTCCAGGATTGAAGTGCTCCGGGAGCTCCCGAGAGCTTGTGTCGAGTTCAAACAATCCCCCATCCCAAAAAACTGCTGGGGGAGGCAATCCCTGACTTCTCCCTGGGACAGCCAGGAGAAGGAAGGACAAGGCCTGGGGGGGACAAGGCCAGGCTGGGAAGGACACGGAGCTTTGGGAAGGCCCTGGAGAAACCCCGAGCCTGGTGGTGCTGAGACAGGGGACGTGGAATGCTGCCATGGAATGCTGCCATGGAATTCTGTCCTGCTCCAACCAAGCCATCCCCGCTGCCCAACGGAGGTGGGCTCCAGGTGGCCACCATCCCCAGCCCATCACTAGCCCCCTGAGGTGCCCGAGGCCCGTGGAAGGAGAGCCCACCCCGGGTGTGGTCTGTACAAAAGTGCTTTAATGCCCAAACTGCTCCAAAACCCCCCGGGTGTGATCCCAAAACCCCAACTCCCTCCCTGGGATCACCTTCCCCGGCCCCTCCTCCCAGTGCAACACTTCCCAAGGGAAGGGCCTGTCCCAGGAACCCCCTTCCAGCCCCTCCTTTTTAGGGATAACATCCCTTGGGAACATGCCAGGGGGGCTGGGAGTGCCCCTCGGGCAACACCTCCGTGACTCATCCCAGCAGCAATTCCACGGCCACCAACCCTTCCCACCCATCCCAAAGCCCCCCTGGAGGGGCTGGGCGACAGCAGGAGCTCGGGGAATGGTGCTTCCAGCCCGGAGCCGGTCCCTGAGATCCCGGAGAACTCCTGGAAGCCGCGGCGGGTCGGGAGAGGCGGAAGCTCAGCAGCCGCTGGGCGAGGGGGCGAAGAAGTAAACGGCCAGGAGGATGAAGTAAACCATCACCAGCACCGTGCCTGGGGGGGACACCACGGGAGGGGGCAGTTAGCCCATGGAGAAAGGAGGGAAGGGCATTGGAGACCTCCTGGGGTGGCCTGGATGAGCCCCCCAGGGAGGGATTTCGTGGGCCTCGGCAAAAATCCCGATTAAAAGGGATTTTAAACCATTTTAAGGGTGAAAAGGGAGTGATTTCCCTTGGAGCAGCTCCAAGATGGTCAACCAAGACCCCAGGAGAGCAGGGGGGAGGGAGTTACACCCCAGAGCAAGGAGGGAGGTGGTTTTAGGGTCTGGATGGGGTCTGGAAGACTTTCATGGGCCTCCAGAAAATCCCAATTAAAGGGAGTTAAAACCCTTTTTAAGGGTAAAAAGAGATTCCCCTTGGAGCAGCT